AACCAACAACAGCCCTTTGACAAGAATCTTCGTTGTTAACTATGTGATCGCGTAGGTCATTCTGCTGGGGGCTGCAGATCTCAATCCCATAACCATCTGCAAGCTTGGGCAAACTTTGCTGGTTGTTTCCCTCCTCAACAGACCCCTTGGATCGTGGATAGTGGAGCCACTCATCATATTGCGTCTGATGCTCAAAGCCTAGACACTGTACATGACTACCACGGCACCGAAGATATCACTATGGGCAATGGTCAAACCATTCCAATATCCCAAACCGGTAACGCTAACATAAGTGCATCAAATCATCATTTCAAACTTCTCAATACCTTATGCTCCCCTCTCATAAAGACTAATCTTACTTCTGTTTCTCAGTTTTGTCATGATAATCATTCCTCTATTGAGTTTTTTCCTTTCCATTATCTTGTGAAGGATCTGAATATGGGGGCGTCTCTAGTTCGCGGGCAGAACAAAGATGGGTTGTATGAGTGGCCAACGGTTTGTACACATGTTCTCCTTAGTGCAATGTGGCTGTTCCAATTCACCTGTGGCATCGGCGTTTAGGTCATCCAAATCGTCACGTTTTGGATACTATCTTGAATAATTTTTCCTTTCCTGTTTTAGATCCTAAAGCTAGTTCCACTTGTAATTCTTGTTATTCTAATAAGATGCACATGTTGACTTTCTCAGAAAATTCACTGCAAAGTAATAAGCCCCTACAAATCCTTTTTGGCGATTTATGGGGTCCATCTCCGGTTTTGTCAATTGATAAAAAAAGATGTTATGTGTTATCTGTTGATCAATTTTCAAAATACATGTGGCTGTTTACTTTAAAATCAAAAAATGAAACTCTGGAAGTTTTTCAAAATTTGCATCCATTGCTTGAACGGAGGTTTAACACCAAAATTCAATCTTTTTACACGGATGGTGGTGGCGAATTTCAAAGTTTACAGTCCTATCTCAAAACACTTGGCATAGAACACTTAGTGTCACCCCCATATACTCCACAACGAGTTGCTCTAGTTGAAAGACGACATCGTCATGTTATTGAAACTGTTAGAACCTTGCTGCATCAGGCATCTTTACCATCACACTTCTGGAGTTTTGCCTGTCAACAAGCTGTCTGTCTTATTAACAGGCTAACTACACCCAATCTTCAGCACAAAAGTCCATTTGAAATTTTATTTCAAAAGATGCCAAAGTATGACTCCATTAAAGTATTTGGTTGCCTCCATTATCCATGGCTCAAATCATATGCCAAAAACAAATTAGAGCCCCGTTCGACACCATATGTTTATTTAGGCTTTTCGAATAAATATTACAATCATCAATGTTTTGATCCTTCAACTTCCAAAATATATCTATCACGTGACGTCTTATTTTTGGAAAATCAGTTCCCATTTAACAATATTTTTTCTCATTTAAAAAGAACACAAAATAAAAATGTCTCTTGGGAAATTTGTTCATCTGGCCAACAACCACAGGATAATACTCGAAACTCATATGATTTTTGTGAGCTTACTTCACAGATTGTGCAGCAGCCCGTGGACACACATTCACCCATCTCCTCTGCCTCAACAGGTGCCACCATCTCAGGTACTTCTATTTCTCCCTTATATGATACTTCTTCTCCTTCTCCAATGCCTCCGTTGCCCCATACCCGCGCCATCCAAAATCCTATTTACAGCCACAAATCACCACAACCAACTGTTTCAACCTCACCAGTTCATACTTCTCCCCAGTTAAATGCTTAGCCACAATCCACAATTATCACTTACCAACGCCGAAATAAGCCCACTGGTCCTTTCATCCAGAAGCCTTTAGTACAACCCTCTTCCTCATCACTTGTCCCACCTCCCATGGCCAAAAAACCTTCTCTTGTAGACTCTACCTTTACAGTGATGCCCAGTCATCACATGATTACTCAGTCTAAGACCAATAGCCTTAAGCCTAAACAATTACACACAGTTGTTCAAACCACTTCCTACCTACCTAGAACCATTAAACAAGCTCAACAAGTCCCACACTGGCGTGAAGCTATGATAAATGAATTTGATGCCTTAGTTCGGAACCGAACATGGGAGTTGGTACCATGTGATCCTTCCAAAAATGTGGTGGATTGTAAGTGGCTTTTCCAGATTAAATATAATTCTAATGGTTCTGTTGACTGGTAGAAAGCTCGTCTGGTTGCTAAAGAGTTCACACAAAGACCTGGACTTGATTTTCAATGTACTTTTAGTTCTGTGGTAAAGCCTGCAACTGTTCAACTCGTTCTTGCGATTGCAACACAACAAAGCTGGCCCATTCAGCAACTTGATATCAATAATTCCTTCCTGCAAGGTCGTCTTGATGAAGAAGTCTATATGCGCGAACCACCTAGTTTTGAAGCTTATGCGCATCCGACACATGTTTGCAGGCTGCACAAGTCTATATATGGCCTCAAACAGGCTCCGAGGGGCTGGTACACTATTTACTGTTTATATTCTGGTATACGTTGATAACATAATTGTCATGGGTAATCAGATTCGTGGTGTTCACAACATCATTGATAATCTTGTAACTCGGTTCTCTTTGAAGGATCTTGGTCCACTTCATTATTTCCTTGGTGTTGAAGTCTAACGTTATCCTGGTGGTCTTTTGTTGTGTCAACAGAGATACATCACAGATCTGTTGCAGGAAGTTAATATGCACAATTTCAAGGGTGTTCCAACACCAATGGCTTCTACTGTTGCTTTCCCAGAGTCTGCTGAATATTCTCTAGTTGATGGCTCTCTTTATATGAGGATAATTGGTAAACTTCATTACCTTTCTTTTACACGTTCGGACATAGCATTTGCAGTTAGCAAACTCTCACAGTCCATGCACCATCCTTTATTATCACATTGGACAGCCATGAAGCGTCCCCTTCGATATCTTCACCAGACATCTTCATTTGGCCTTCGAATTGCCAAAGAACATGATCACCGTCTTTTAGCCTACTCAGATTCTAATTGGGCTGGAGATCTTCTCGATCGAACCTCTACAACAGGTTATGTTGTTTACCTTGGCAGTTCTCCGGTATCCTGGTCCTCTAAAAAGCAAAGATCTGTCTCCCGATCCTCCACAAAAGCAGAATATCGGGCTATTGCAGCTACTGTTTCTGAAACAAATTGGCTAACAAGTTTACTCCATGAACTTCGGTTTCATATTTCCACCACTCCTCAGATATTTTATGACAATGTCAGCACCACATACATTTGCGCCAACCTAGTGTTCCATAGTTGGGTGAAACATATTGCTATTGATTTTCACTTTGTTCGTGAACAAGTTCAAAACAAGCATATCGCAGTTCAACACCTTCACTCGGCTGATCAAGTGGAAGATATACTTACCAAACCACTTCCAAGAGCTTATTGTGTCAAGCATTTCTCCAAGTTGGGTGTTGTTGACACCACCAACTTGCGGGGTAGTAATAACGGATGAGACTCCTTACCTTTGTAGAATTCTATTTTCGTACTTCCTGATCCTTATGAATCTTTTTAATAGTCTTTATCTTTTCTAGGTCTTGTATAGATTCTTTATATAGTAGCCATATGGTCAATAATAAGATATATACAATTTTCCCATCTTTGCTCTCGTTTCTTTACTATTTTCCTTTTAAGAGGAGATATAGAAGAACTTGTATCTTGTTCCAAAGATTCGTTTTTCTTAGGTAATATATGCTCAAAAAAGTTAGCATGCAACGATTCAATAATTGTGTGAGGGCTTGGGATCTCAAGATTCAAAAATCTATAAGCCTTACAGGTTTGTGAATAACCAATAAATACACAATCTACTCCTCTATAGCCAATCTTAGTCAAATGTTGATGTGGTAATCTAACATGAGCCAAACAACCACATACTTTAAAATAATTTATATTTGGCTTTCGATTCTTCCAAAGTTCATATGGAGATGAATCATGTTTCTTGGAAGGAATTCGATTCAAAATATGACATGCAGAAAATAAGGCTTCTGTCCACAAATTTTTAGTGATACCAGATCCATAAAGCATAGAGTTAACCATTTCAAATGAAAGATCTATTTTTCTTTCTGCTACACCATTTTGTTGTGGTGTATAAGACATAGTCAATTATTTCTCAATGCTTTCTTTTTCACAAAAATCAATAAAATCTGATTTTAAAAACTCTCCACCTCTGTCATATCTAATTGATTTAATCTTCAAACTCAATTTATTTTCAACTTCTGCTTTATATGTTTTAAAAGTCTCAAATGCCTCATCTTTTGTTTTTAATGGAAAGACATATATATACCTTGAGTAATCGTCAGTGAAAGCGATAAAATATCTCTTTCCATGACGTGATAAACAATCCATCTCACAAATATCAGTGTGGATTAACTCCAAAAGTGTGGATATCCTTTCAATAGACTTAAAAGGTTTCTTTGTTATTTTACATTTACTACAAGTAATACACTTAGCAACATGATCCTTTCCACAGTCTTTACTTAATCCATTTTTAACCATAAGTTGAATGGATCTAAAATTCACGTGACCAAGACGTTCATGCCATAATTCTAAAGACTCCACAACATAAGAAAAAAATAAATTCATTTTCAATATATATTGAGTTTGAACATGCCATTTGTAGTATAACCTTTTCCAACAAACATGCCTAGTTTAGACAAAATAAATTTATCTGCCTCAAAAATCATTTTAAAACCATGCTTCGAAAGAAGCGTACTTGACACCAAGTTCTTTAGAATATCAGGAACATGCAATACGTCTAACAATGTGACCATCTTTTTGGAAGTGAATTTTAGTTCAACAGTTCCTTTTCCCACAACCTTAGCAGAGGATGAGTTTCCCATATCCAAAACTTTATCGCCCCCCACTAATTCATAGGTCGTGAAAGAATTTTGATTACCTTATATAGGACGAGTTGCACCAGTGTCTATCCACCATTCCACTTGATCTCCCGCTACATATGCTTCTGTGACCATTGCCACTAGTTCATTTTTTGTATTGTTATTTGCCTTTTTCTTTCTTCTTTTCAGCTTTAAGAATTTTACAATCACGTGCATAGTGACCAATTTTATGACAATGAAAACATTCATTCGACTTAGAATTGGAATTAGAACGCTTAAAAATTTTACTCTTCTTTGCCTTCAAAAATTTATTATTGGCAGGTTCCTTCTTGATCGATTTTTCTTCAACAACATGGGCTTTCATGATGGGCTCCTTCAAGATGTTATTGTCATGATATCGTGTCTCTTGTTCAATTTGCAAGTGCTGCAATAATTGTTCAAGAGTCAAATCTTCCTTCTTTTGCAAGAGTTTGCTTCTGTACTCCTTCCAAGATGGAGGAAGTTTTGATCCAATAACACCAACATCAAAGTTTTCATCAAGAGCAATTCCAGATATAGCAATTTTATTAGCTATAAGTTGAAATTTTTGTACTTGTTCAGTGATTCACTTGTCATCAACCATTTTGAACTCCATATAATTTGAAACAAGAAATTTCTTTGAACTCGCCTCTTCTGCTAAATGGATAGCTTTAAGAGTATCCCAAATCTCCTTAGCAAGTTTGCACTTAATATAATATTGATCATAATATGTATTGGACATTTCTCCAAGAATATAATTCTTGCATAAGTAATCATCATCTTGCCATTTGGCAATTTGTTCTTTAATCATAGTAGCCTCGTTTGTTGCTACCTCAGAACCAGGAGCGTCAGGACAAGGTTTCTCAAGAACATATGCCAACTTTAATCGTCTTAAAAAGAATTCCATCTTTCCACGCCATCTAGGAAAGTCTTTTCCATCAAATATTTCAAAATTAGGATTGGGAAAATTTGGAACACTGTTTGTTATTGATGTGGATGTCATAGAGACAACTATCTTCAAATTGTTAGAACAACTGAACAAGAATGATAAAAATATAAGGAATTCAAAACAAAACTTGCTTGGCTTAGAGGCACGTTAACACATTTCTGGAATAGAGTTGGAGTCTCTCCCGCGAGCAATCGGAAGAATAAATAACAACTCTATTTTCGGGATTCAACTAAGCCACAAAACAAGTAGCATTCAGGAATGTTGCTCTTCTATTCTTGAATTGGTGATTTCACCTTTTGATTAATGTCCCACAAGTGTTTTTCAAGGGAAAGTAGGTTTTTTTGAGTGCTTATATTTTCAACCAAAAGAACTTAATTTATAGGACAAAAGTTTTGCAAGAAAAAAACTTTTAATTAAATAGTATTTATTATAGGTTCATGAATTAAAAATAAAACGTATCTTTCAAACAATCCATAACGTAGAATTTTAAAAGTGTCTTGCAAAACATCTATAACGTATAATTAAAATAAAAATGAATGTTACAACTCATATTCATGTATTTTGTTATTTCAAAACTTTTAACGGATGAATTTATTTCTAAATTAATTGAAACACTAACTCTTACAATATAAAGTCGATGAAATATGATTTCGACTAGTCACATGATATAGAGCTGATGGAAAATAGTTTCGGCTAGTGATATGATATAAATAAATAAAAAATGGTTCTGGCTAGTGATACAAAGCTGAAGAGAAATTGTTCTGGCTAGTGGTACAAAACCTATGAGAAATGTTTCTGACTAGTGATACAACGCCAACGGGAAATGGTTCCAGCTAATGATATGATATAAAGGCGATGAAAAGTGGTTTCAACTATTGATATGTTATAAATTCGATGGAAAATGGTTCTGATTAATGATATTTTTTTGAAGGGAAATAATTTCGGCAAGAGTTTGATTATTATGATTTGATGCTTATGTTTGACATATTTGTTAATTGTGATTGATGCACTTGTTACTTATGATCGATCTAGTTGATATTGAGATTAATATACTTGATACCTGTTGATTGTTGAATTGTGACTGTTGAACTGTTATTATTGAGCCTTGTGAGTCGTGTATTGTAGAACTGTTAGGTTGGGCTGATTTCTATGCATATTGTAGTTTGAGGAGGTTCGGTTGGGATGAAATGAGTACTCGATTTCTAGCTTGTTTTTTATTAGATTTCTTGTTGGGTACCGTGTTGTTGGTACTCACTCCTTGCTTCTATACTAGTTCAAGTTCCGAGCCCAGTATAGCATGATTGCTCTTTCTCTCCCATTTCCGAGGCTTGTCAAGGACCTGTTGAGAGGTAGTTTCTTTTCATCCTGGCGGACCCCTTCATTTCTTGTTTTTATGCTTTGTTCTAATTGAGAAATAAATACTTGAGACTTGTACTTATTTCTTAATTCTGCAATTTATGTATTAGTGGTTTGTACACGTAACAACCAGGTTTCGGGGTGTTAATAAAATGAATAAGTTTTCTGTTTTTATCTTGTTCTTGCTTTATTTTTCTACATTTTTTTCGATTCTTCTAGGTTGAGGCTAATTTGTCTTAGTAAGGATAGACAAGTGTCATCACATCCAATTTTTAGATCGTGACAAAATCACCAGTATAAATCAATACACCTACGAAGAATTATAAGGATCTTAACATAGAAATTTTTGAGGTGTTTAGCAAATATTGATGTCTTGGAGCAATAGCGTAATTGTTAGAAAAAAATAATAGGAAATATAAATTGAAGAAGAAGACTTTGAGGCGTGTAATCACTTTCTTTAAAGAGATATTGCATGTATACATATTGGGAAAATACAAACAAATCCCTTCAGAATACAACAAAGCCATATGTTTATACATACAGATTTTTCTTAGACTATTTCTAGAAAATATTTATATTTATAGAAGTTAAGAGATGACTTTTAATAAGATTCATGTTCTTTCATGATCAAACGACTTTTCATATGAGTCATGTTCTTTCATGAACAAATGACTTTTCATAACAATCATGTTTTTTTCATGAACAGATGTGTCTGTTCAATTTAAGACCTCTATGTATTACAAAATATTCAACAACGTAATAAGAGTGCATCGTCCCATCATAATGCAATAATATGTAATTATTTAATATTTAATAAATAATAATGATATTTCATATTATATATTTTATACATTTGACTAATACCCCGGCGACGTTTATGGATTTGATGAATAAGGTGTTTAGACAATACCCGGATATGTTTGTAATTCTGTTCATAGATGATATTTTAATCTATTCGAGAAGTGAGAATGACCATATTGATCATTTGAGGTTTCTATTGCAAATCCTTAAGGAAAGACAACTTTTTGCTAAGTTTAGCAAATGTGAGTTTTGGCTAAGGTCTGTGGCTTTCCTAGGCCACAACATTTCAAGTAAGGGTATTAAGGTAGATCCTATTAAGATGGATGCAGTCAAGAGTTGCCCTAGACCTCTATCACCGACATACATTAGAAGTTTCTTGGGTTTGACTGGTTACTATAGAAGATTTGTTGAGGGGTTTTCCTTCATTACTTCTCCATTGACGGCTTTGACTCAAAAGAATGCCAAGTTTATATGGTCCAAAACTAGTGATAAAAATTTCCAAGAGTTGAAAGATAGACTTACTTCCGCTCCGGTGTTGACCTTACCGGAAGGTACGAATGGCTTTGTAGTATATTGTGACGCCTTTAGAGTTGGATTGGGATGTGTTCTTATGCAAAATGGTAAGGCGATTGCCTATGCTTAAAGGCAACTAAAGGTTCATGAGAAGAACTATCCTACCCACGACCTTGAATTAACGGAGGTGGTATTTGACTTAAAGATTTGGAGGCATTATTTGTATGGTGTGCATGTGGATGTTTTCACCGACCACAAAAGTTTGCAATATATGTTTACCCAAAAAGATCTAAATCTTCGCCAAAGGAAGTGGCTTGAATTATTGAAAGATTATGATGTAAGTGTTCTCTATCACCTCGGTAAAGCAAATGTGGTAGCGGATGCCCTTAGTCGGTTATCCATGGGTAGTGTTGCACATATTGATGATGAGAGAAAAGAGTTGGTTCAAGATGTTCATAGGTTGGCCCGATTGGGAGTTAGACTAGTGGATTCCACCAAGGGTGGTATTATGGTCCATAATGGGTCTGTATCATCTTTTGTAGCCAATGTTAAGGCAAAGCAATATCATGATCCGACTTTGGTAGAATTGAAAGAAGCGGAACTTAAAAATTCCATTGAGGCTTTTTCCCAATGGGGAGATGGTGTCCTAAGGTACCAAGGTCGTTTGTGTGTTCCGAATGTTGATGACCTAAGGGAACAGATCTTATCAGAAGTGTCATGCCCCGAGACTACACCCTGGGCGGGATGGCACTCAAGAACCATTGCTGGCCCCAAGCGATCCCTTAGCCTGACTTACTTACTCAGCGGAAGACTTTAAGCATTAAGAAAAGAACTCAAATGCAAGATAACTCAACTGTCTCAAACTAAACTCATATTTTTTTATAAATAAACATTTAACTTAGCCAAAGTGGCAACTCAAATATGAACATAAGCCAATAACAAGGTAAGACAAATGAACTAACTGACTGTCTATCTATGAAGCCTCTAAAACTGAGATGGATGTCAGGACAAGACCCACAAAATCCCAATGAACTAAAATACTGAAAGCAATAAAAAGGATCCTCTGGAAAGCAAGGAGGCTCACCACCAGACTCTGAGTGCTCAACTGGATCAACGATGCATTGGATGCTGATCTTGGTTACCTGTGTCTGCCTCATAAAATGATGCAGGCCAAATGGCATCAGTACATTGAATGTACGAGTATGCGAGGGGAATACTAAACATAACATAAGCTTGAAAATAATCTGAAAGAAACACTTACCTTGACTTTACTCAACTCATGAACAACTTAACTCAATATAAAGCAATAAAACACATGCAATATATAGAAAGCCTTTAAACAGTAGAAAATAACTTGGTTCGTTAAATAAAATGCAATAACAAACTCAACTTTACTCATATCATAAAGTAATATATTTTCTGTGGGAGTTTCTCTAACCAACAACCACCACTATGAGCCTAAGTGGTGATACATCGTCTTGCCCACACTCCCAGAACAGTCCTATACTTTGCCGTCATATAGAACACCTTAACTAAGTGGATCCACTAGTCTATGATAAAAAGCACTTAAGGAATTATCTAAAAAGTATGATCCTTTCAACCTATGATGGCTACATGGTTTATGGAGACGTGAGTTATCTAAACTCAAACTCGTCCCCATATCGGTGCTCAATACTACTCCCAAAAATACTCAACTCATATGTTTTAAAAAACACATAACTTCTTTCTTTGGTTTGAGATAATTACTCAAAACTTAGCTTAAAAGCTCTCTTGGAATCGATGTTCCCTTTCTTGCTCAAATGTGAAAACATTTACCCTTAACTGAAAACTAGCTCAAAGGCTCTTTTGGAAATCAAGGTTTCCTTTCTTCTTCAAATGTGAAAACATTTTACTCTTTGGGAATACATAGTCCCGATATACTCTTTTGAAGAAAATGAACTTCAAACTTTACTCTTTACTCAACTCAATGCTCAAGTCTTAAAACAAAGTTAAAACATTTGTAAAAGACTTTTGGAAGACTCTATGAATTTCTCTTAACTTTACTCTTAGCTTTCCTTGAATTGAATTATGGATTCAAGGATTGTGATTTGTGATAGGAACGATCTCATGATGTTTAGGAGTGTTTTTAGATAGTTAAACATGAGAAAAGATCAAGAAATCACTGTCTCAAAACTAGTCTGCGACGCAGAGATGTATTTAAATTTTTGGTCGCGAAAATAATTTTAGAGGCAGAATGGTCCGTGACCGCTCCGCGATGCAAGGAAGAATAATTTTGCGAAACTAGGGGG